GTAGGATGTTTTGGTGTATGCTGCTGTTGGTGGTCGATTGGCAAGTGAGATTGATCATCACGGCTTCACGTCAAGGCCACCTTAACCTCGGCCTTTTTTCATATATATATATATATATATATCATGTATATATAGCTCCTCAAAACCCACGAAAACCGGACGATCGCCCTCAAAGAGGAAGGCATAAGCAGTTTATACCACCACAACTCCCGAAAGAGTCTGACCTATTGCATCCCATTCCTGCCAAAACGTCCCACGGCATTCCAGCCCCCATCATCCCAGAAAATCCCGTGAAACTGCTACTACCAGTAATATTCCGAACACACACCCTTATACATACGGTACATATACCGTAACCCTCATTTCTCAGCCCCCCCCCCCCCGTTGACACAGGCCTAGCAAATGTGTAACGCACAGACATTCATGTGTGATGGATTTCAGCAAGCTTTTTCACTCCCCGTTGAAAAAAAAGGCAAATCTTATAAGAAAAGGGGAGGGTGGTGGTACCCCCAACTAGTTGCAGCGACCTGTTTCTGTTCCCACCTTCATGCTCGCCCTCTCCGGAGAGCTGCTATTCAGCGTACTATGCATATGTAGTGTACCAGAAGGAATTAGTTTAGTCTACTTCCTCGGTCGATCCGTGTCAAGCAGCTTCATTGGCATGATCAACTTGTTCCATCAGCCCATGCATTGAAACTAAACAAGAGGCATGAAACAAGCACCCCCCCATTGATGTACAACATCCTCCAACACATCACAAGTCATTCACAAGAGTCGCATCACTCAGCTTGCAAATGCCGTCTCATTGTAAAAAGTCCACCACCAATCCGATGCCGTCTTATTGTAGCCACCTCCATCACCACTTCAATGCCAATACCCTTTTCAACGCCCAATTCCAGCCCAAAAGCAAAATCAAGACTCAGTCGCCATAGCATGCCTGTTTCCACCATGTATCCATCTGCCAAATCAAAAGAGCAAAACTCCTCCATGAATTCCAGTACCATGCGCCATCATGTACAACGCATCACACATTGACTCGAACATCCGCTAGCTCGCTGATTCCACCACCTCCAAGCCCTCCAAGACTTTGATGGCTCTTGTGCCCTCCATCTCGAACCGGTTCACCAGAGACTCGCATTCGAACTTGAGCTTCTTCTCCGCCTCCGCCGCGTTAAAGTAGATCCATTCCTCCACAGTCATCTGCCTCTCCGGACTGGTCAGCTCGTTGCCTCGCGTCAAGAAGCGATCCACGTCGTTCTCCTTGCCCGGGCTGCCCAAGGGCGACTCGAAAATGGCCTCGAGACTCGCCGCAGCCCATGGCGTCGTGCTTCGAAGCCCGGCCATAACGTTACGCTTCGAGGGTGATCCGGGGGCTGGGGTAGTTGCCACAGGAGCCAACACCAATCGTTTTGCGGTACTCCCCCTGAGGGCGCGAGAGGCGGGTGGTTGATTCTCTGCGTCCGATGACTGAGGAGATTGTGAAGGCGACAACACAGGCTGTCTGGCTGAAGGGGCAGGAGACAGCTTGGACGGAGTATCTGGCAAGGGCACTAGGGATCCCTTTCCCTTGGGTGAAAATATGGCTCGCACTGGCGACTGCTTGGGTAATCGAACAGGCACTTCCGGCAGGTCGCGAGCTTCGACAAAATCCTCCTCGGTTTCCGTCTCAACTGGCTCTGCGGGCCTCGTTTCGACTGGCTTCTTAGCCGGCCGTCCGCGTCCACGTTTCCCAGCTGCACCACCTTCTTTGGTCTTCTCGGCAGCCTCGAATGGGCGAGGGAGCAGCGGCGGAGCAGTAGTTTTGGACGGTCGTCCCCTGCGCTTTGCGGCCGGCGCAGGGGCAGCTTCAGCTTCCTCATCCGCCCCGGTCAACTCCAAGGAGAGCAACGAGGCATTCGAAGGACGGCCGCGGCCTCTCTTGGCAGGGGGTTCGGCCGGATTGGCGCCTTCAAGCTCAGCGGACAGTAGGGACGCCAATGACACTCTGGCAGGGCGGCCGGGCCCTCGCTTGAGCGACTGTTGCGACGACTCAGTAGCTTCCGTGTCGAGAGACTCGTCTTGCGACGCGAGCGAGGCCTTTGGACGGCCACGGCCCCGTTTACCAGGCGCAGCGGGCGCCGCTTTTCTCAAAACGCTTCCTGTGCTGCTTTCACTAACATCAGCTGATGCCAGCTCATCCTCTTGCTGTGACTCTGGAAACTCAGATTCAGTCTCTCGAGGGAGTGATCCCTGGTTGGCATTCTGAGCCTTTGCCTGCTTTGCTCCCTTTCGTACACCAGCTTTGCGACCTTTCTTCGGTACTGGAAGTGGTTCCTCAACCCGCATTTCAGCCTGCAAGGTCTTGAGCTCATCGTCGATCTCGTCTGCGCTAGGCTCGGCCACTGGATCAAACATTGCATACTCGGGCGACCTTGGCTTTGCCGGTCGAATGGCATCGCTCTCCGAGTCTGTTCCAGCCTTTGCCTCTGCCTTTTTCCGCCCCGAGTTAGCATCATGGGTAGTCTCCTCCTCGTCCGTCACCTGGTGTTCCAGGTCCTCCTCGAGCTGGCGTTCAATTTCGTCATCGTCCGGAAACCTGCCAGGAGCCCGTAGAGACGCCATGGAGGCATGCGACTTCAACTTCGAGGCAATCTTGCGGCCTGCCTTTGCTCCCGATGGCGCTGAATTCGTGCTGTAGGATGCTCTGGACACGTCGGTCATCTCAGAGTCGTCGTCGTGAGAAGCAAGGTCATCAATCGTATCGTGCCCAAGAGCTTGCGCCGATCGCTTCTTCGAAAGGGGTCCCTCCCCTGAGCTCGTTTCCAATTCCCCCACCGCGTCGCTTGGCCTCTTCTTGCCTCGTCTGACCTTGGGTGGTCGTGGTTCCTCCACTTGGCTGTCCTGATCAAGCGCTTCAGACTGTTCATCTTTCTTGAGCTTCTTCCTGCCCGCCTTTGCCGCTGCTCCTTTCTTTGCTCTGGCCTTCTTCGTCCCGAGCTGCGATGCCGAAGACGCAGTTGTGTTGACACTTTCCTCGAGACCCGCGCTCAGGTCACTGGCATTCGAAACGTCGGCAGGGGCTGTGCCGTATGACTGGATAGATGAAGCCGAGTTGCGCGCTGATCGTGGACGGCCAGAACCCTTTCCCAGCGCCCTATACTGGCTGACCAGAGCGAAAAACGGACAGTCGGGAGACCGGTTGTAATGTTCGTCTCTGGATGACAGTTAGATAACGGTCCATGCTTTAGCGGCAAGTGCAAGTCTCACAGAGGTTTGTCGCCTTGCTCCCATCCATCAAGTGCCAATTGGCAGTATGTACACGTCGCCATATCGTCCGACTCCTTGGTCGGGGTGTACTTCCAGCCAGCTTCTACCAGCTATGAGAACGTCAGCAAGAGCTTCCGACATGGCCTTGTCCGTTAAAACGGCAACAAACCTGCTTCGTCTTGCACTTCCAACCCTTCTTGTTCTCGTGAGGCCATCGGTTCGCAAAGGTTGCCCTACGAGCATCGATCATGTCGGGGTCGTTGGGATCCTCTCGGCCGTAGTCTCCAATGTCTGCCTCGATGGCAGCAACAATCGCCCAGCCGCAATGGGGAGCATGTTTCACGTGTTCGTAGATTGGGTCATCGCCCGCCTCCCATCCGTCCAATCCCTTTTCGCATAGAAAGCAAACGGTGTTGTCGGGGCTTTCGGGACTCGGCCTGAATACGAATCCGGCTTTGGCAAGCTGTACAATGCGTCAGTATCTCCCCCCATACGTAGCGGAAAGGGGCGGTTCGGAGAGAAGGGGGCGCATACGCTTGTGATGGAAATCTGCTTATGGGGCCAGTTGAGCGCCTTGGCTGCTCGGCCGCCAGTGGTTGAGCCGCGCTTCTTGGTGGTCTTCTGAAAGGAGGCCAGGCGGGCTTCGTAGGTAAAATACTGATCGAATTCTGAGGCCATGTTGAGGATCGCCTCCAGCCCAGGCTGGCGAATTGCAGTCGGTGCTCGATGTCTGTGTCGCTTGTGTGTGAAGATGGCGTAGACAAGGGGCACTGCAGGTGCGAGGCAAAGCTCTTGACCAAATGTTGATTCAGAGACGCAATCACAGCGTATGAGGAAGCATCAACTGGGCTTGTTGTATCGGCGGGTTGCAGAGCTTGGTCGAGACAGTGCTCGTAGTCGGTTGCTATAGAAGACAGCTGCCGTACATCAAAATCCAAGGGAGTCAGTCGAGAATCGTGTCGTGAGAGCGTAGAAGCAGCATCAATATTAAACAGCAGCTGGGTACAGGGTTGATTGTTTGTTTGACAGCTCGAGTCTGCATCCTGACGTGGGCGAGCGCGTTTGTTTACTTTCGCTTTGCGAGTGGGGCGCAGCGTCAGCCACTGAACTTACAGCGCTTGGCTCCCTATTAGAGGCCCCTGGAAGCGCCACAGTTGGGGGTCGGATACATATCGATGGCCCAACATCACATTCGTTGATCGAGTGACTCCAGATGATTGGATCTGATTGAGACAATCTTCAATTCGTTGCCCAGAGTCTCACAGTGCCACGATCCAAGCAGTCAGCAACAGTGCGCATGTTGGTATCGTGTCTCGGAGACGTGTTGGTGAGCCGGGGCATCGGTAACACGAGGTTGAACAAGACAAAGGACAGCCCCCTGAGTGGGACTTGGCATTCTGTATCTGGTTTGGACCTTTGAGAGACTGAAGGCCTGGTATGAACCACATTCTTCTTCTTCTGCGTTGGTCTCGTAGCTTTTTCTCTATATCGATCTGTAACTCAATGACACAAATTACTTTGTTACGCCGTCCCACCCGAATAGCACTGCAGTAGAGCCAGCTACGCGGTCATCTTTATACTTTACCCAACTCTCATGTTCCTGCTGTACACTATGTACTTCGTGAAGCAAAGGCACCAACTCCAGTAGATGGGTGAAACCGTCTGTTGCAGCAAAGCAAATCCAGTAATGGGGTCTATGTTGAACTAAGCGTATCCGGGCGGTTACGACTACAGCTTTCCAGCGTCCTTCAATGCTTTTTCGCCATCAACAAGGACACACCAGCCCTCTGAGCCCCTGCCCCCCTCCCCGTAGACGACGGTTTCGAAAGTGCCGTCTGCCAGCGCAAACTTGATAACGTCGTCGTCAAAAGTGCCGGGCTGCAGCCAGATCGCAGGGATGCCGACGCTCTTGGCCTCCTTGAGGACGTTGATGGTGATGGCGGGGTGCGTGATGATGGACACGGACGTCTCCGTTGGCTTCGGCAGTGACTTGACGTCCGGCAACGTGGGGTGATCCTCCCCATTCACGTTGACAGTTGGAGAAGCTGGATTGATGGGGGTGACGGGTAGGTTGTGGTTCAGATACCAGGCGTGAACTGTATTGCTCAGGTCAGAGGATTATCTTGATGTTGGGGTCTACGAGAGGATGAACCTTTGTGGCCAAACTTGGCGGGGTTGGAGCTTGCTCCCACAACCGCGAAGAGGGGAGATGAGAAGAACCGCTTAGCGGTGGCCTCTGTGACTGCAGCCATGGTTTCCGTGTTTTCTGGTGATCAAGGGAGAATAAGAGATGTTTTCTGGTGATCAAGGGAGAATAAGAGATATTTTCTTGTATATTGAGAAGCCTAGGTATCTTTTCATGAAGACAATAATCCAGCGGGTGATACAAGTACATGTACTAAAGCATCGCCCAGCTGACGTGATTGTCCACGAGAAGTCCTCATCGGTAGATTATCGGAACACGCCCATCTCAAGTATTGAAGATGGCGTATGGTGGTATCGACCAGTGGATGGCATATAAACGGCCAGTGAATGAGACGTCGTTATCTCGTCAATACGGGGGGACAATTTTGGGGAGTTGTTGATTTGGAATTGACCGCTGCGGCTTTCGAGGTAAAATCGCAAAATCCAGGGTAGGCCGCCGAGGTAATAGCATACCTGCTTTTGTTTACTTCCTTATCACAGGACGGCCAACACATTGAACACACTTTGGTCGAGTATTACGACCGTGCCACCGTATTTCCCATGCAGAATACTGTAGGCCCAGCAAAGAGGAATAGGATGTAAGCCAGTAAGAAGACGCCTTTGACGTGTCCTAGCGACGATGCTCATGCATGGCATAAAACTCCCACGGACTACTATTGATCCCTTATGCCACATCTGTACCTTAGTGTCTGAGTTATACAGACCGCCTCCAACAAGCGCCAGGTCGATTGGCTGCCACGGATGCCGAGTGTTGACTCGTTGCCCCGTCAGAACAGGCAGGGGGAGTCAGTGGGGCATCAATGTTCAGGAGACGCAGGCCTCTTGTTGTCAATTTCGACCTTGCATCATTTGTTTGTCTGAGAGACAGCCGTTGCCGACATTTTGCGACTTTGAACTCGACTCTGCGACAGGAATCTCACATCCTCTCACACAGAAGCACTATAGCCCTTTCTACCAATCACAATGGTGAGTTGCCCCAGCGCCGCTCCGATGTAAACAAAACCAGTGCGAAGTCGTTCTGGAGCGTGGCGCCGCACATGATTCGCCCAGCAGCTGTTGCTTCCCGTTTGGCGCGCAACTGGGAGAGACAAATATCCCGAAAACAGGACTGCCTTGTTTTTCTGTTCGATTTCCACTTCCGTTGCGAAAGAAAGAATCTACGCCCATCCGATCGCTTGCGACAGGCTTGCGCTCCAGACGAACCTCCGCACACCGAGATAAAGAAGAAAACACAGGGGGAAAATGGCTTCTAATCAGTTCGACTCCCAGGCCTCGACCAACTACAAGGAGGCATTTGCCCTGTTCGACAAGCGCGGCAACGGCCGCTGCGCCATCGACTCGCTCGGCGATCTGCTGCGAGCCTGCGGCCAGAACCCCACGCTGGCCGAGATCCAGGAGCTGGAAAAGGGCCTTGGAAGTGAATGTAGGTTCTTTCTTTCACGCTGCCTCCGTTGTGCAAGGGATGGCCTGGAGACGTGATGCGCAGTTCTGCTGACAACTTTGGGCGCCTCTCCTGCACAGTTGACTTCGAGACGTTCCAGCGCATCCTGAACCGACCGGGCGGGTTCCGCGACCCTGGCGAGCCTGAGGAATATTGCCGTGGCTTCCAGGTGTTTGATAAGGATATGACGGGCTTTATCGGCGTTGGCCAGCTCAAGTACATCCTGACCAACCTGGGCGAGAAGATGACGGAGGAGGAGGTCGACGAGCTGCTCAAGGCTGTGGACACCAGCTCTGGCCAGATCAACTACACGGGTATGCAAGCTTCCGCCCTTTATTTGCCTCGCAGTTCTCATTCTCTTTCCGCTTACTGACCGTGCGCTTGTCGGCTCCTTAGACCTTGTCCGAACGATCCTCGCCAACTAAGAAGTTGTTCGAGCGAAGAATCAGGCCGGTGGCATCTTCTTGCGTCTGCGAATGGGATGATGGCGTTGCTATGTGTTTGTTTTGTTTATGGCAGTGAATTGGGCACGCTCTGGGATTGACGATAACTTTGATTTTTGTTATGGATGGCTGTGGACATATCATGTTGCCATGGTTTAGGTATATGAATAGCATCGGTGCTCGGAGCGCACCGCGAGTTGGCCAAGCGACCCTCTTGATACTTGATCCTCATGTCGACTGAGCACTGACTTGACCATCCTTCAGCGGCTGTGGCGGCTAGAAGATGTACGAGGTAGTATCTCTGAAGCCACAAAGGTCGCCTACTGAAATGGTCAATTTCGTTGCAACCACACATTATTTGCAATTTCCCGACTGTCTGCATGGCTGCAGGTGACCTTCTCTCCTGTTTGATGTGGCGGAGCAACCCCGCGATGCCGTTGGCTTTAGCAGCTCACCACCTGCCGGATGGGGCCGCCACGATGACATCGGAGCTTAAGGTAGCTACCTATGGACATGTGTTGCTGCCCACAGGCAATGAAGCCAAATATCGATCGTTGTAGCGAATTGTCGTCCCAAACGCCTCCATTATCTACAAGTAGTTGTTGATGTCAAGAGATTGAAGCTGTGGTGTTTTTGCTGTTAGGTACCTACTCAGCGTAGCCTCTTAATAAGCTGTCACCATCCGTTCAAGCATCTACCGTGAGCCGCGTCCTGCCGCGTCTTACTCAATCATCTCTGGCCATCACTCAACCTACCCCTCACCAGCACTCAATTTCCTCTCTTCTGGTAGGCCGAAGCAACACCACGCTGTCGTACGTCCTGCATCCCAAGCGGGCCAAGTTAGGACAGATTCCCCGTGAGCAACTGCCCGCCGATCCGCCATCGAGCTGGAGCTCCCTCGTGCCTTACGCCTCAGGCCCCTCCTTCTCCTCCTCCTCTCCCTCCTCGTGCTCCTCCTCGCCGCCACGCTGGCTTCCCAACGAGCTCTTCTGCGCCTCAACTCTCTCGCGAGTCACGTACGGCTGCAAGCAACCACCCGTCTTTCGCCATACCGCCGCCTCTTGACCACCAGCAGCATGGCTCCCGAGCAGTTTCGAACCCCGCCGCAGAAGCCGCCCGTGTTTACCGGCACGGCCGAGTCCATCCTCGCCGATGCGAAGAAGAGCGCTGAGCAGAGCAAGAAGGTTCTGGACGATGTCGTTGCCAGCGTGACGCCCGAGAAGGCCACTTTCGAAAACACCCTCAAGCCCATCCTCATCGACGGCAACGAGTCTTCGGGCCCCCAGAACATTCTGACCTTTTATCAGCATGTGTCGACGAACGACTCGCTCCGCGAAGCCTCCACCAAGGCCGAAGAGCTTTTGAACGACTTCTACATTGAGGCTAAGATGCGGGAGGATGTGTTCAAGCTGGTCAACGCTGCGTACGAGACGCGCGAGTCCCAGAACCTGGACAAAGAGTCGCTCCACATCCTGGAGAAGGAACGCCAGAAGTATATCCGCAACGGTTTGCTTCTTCCCCCAGGTGACAAGAGAGACCGCTTCAAGGAGATCCAGAAACGCCTTAGCCAGCTCTGCATCCAGGGCAAGAAGAACCTCAACGAGGAGAAGGGCGGAGTCTGGTTCACCCCCCAGGAGCTCGAGGGTGTGCCCAAGGACGACATTGACGTTGAAACGCTCGAGAAGGGGACCGGCGAGAACGAAGGAAAGGTCAAGGTGACCTTTAAGTACAACCACTTCACCCCTCTGGTCAAGTATGCTATCCACGAGGAGACGAGGCGTAGGTACATGATTGCGGATGCCAACAAGGTAAGCCCAAGCTCCTACTTCCCCATCCAACTTGCTGCCGAGAGTAAAGAACTGACACGGCATAAAGTCAAACAACAATGTTGAGATCTTCAAGGAAATCATGGTCCTGCGAGATGAAGCTGCTCGACTTTTGGGCTATGAGAACCACGCCAGCGTCCGGATTGAGGAGAAGATGGCCAAGTCGCCAGCGCGCGTCAACGAGTTCCTGAGCGATCTGAGGAAGCGCCTGGCTCCTGGCGGCGAGAAGGAAGTCAAGGCTCTCACGGAATACAAGAAGCGGGACTACGAAGAGCGCGGCATTCCCTTTGACGGCAACTTTTACATGTGGGATACTTCCTACTACTCCAGGATCATGAAAGAGAAGGAGTACAGCGTAGATGAGGTTGCAATCTCGCAGTATTTCCCGGCAGAGCCAACCTTCGCCGGCATGCTCAAGATCTTTGAGGAGATCTTTGGCTTCGTCTTCGTCGAGCTCGGCCCGGAGGATCGAGCACGGCTGAGCCCAACTGGCAAGGCCGAAGACATTTCCTGGCACGAGGACGTGATCGTCTACAGTGTCTGGGATGAACCAGCCAAGGGGGGCGAATTCTGCGGCTACCTCTATCTTGACCTCTTTCCCAGAGATAACAAGTATGGACACTACGCCAACTTTGGCATCGAGCCGGGTTTCCTCACCGTCGACGGGAAGAGAAGCTACCCATCAACTTCGTTGGTGTGCAACTTCAGCAAGCCGACCGCGACCAAGCCGTCGCTGCTCAAGCACCACGAAGTCGTCACCTTCTTTCACGAGCTTGGCCATGGCATCCATGACCTTGCCGGCCGAACTCGCTACAGCTATACCCATGGCACTGCGACGGTGGCTGATTTCGTCGAAGCACCCTCCCAGATGCTTGAGAACTGGTGCTGGACGCCGAGTGTTCTCAAGTCGCTGTCGAAGCACTGGGAGACGGGTGAGCAGATTCCCGATGAGCTCGTGGACAAGCTGGTGAAAACCAAGCATCTCAACTCGGCCATTGGCGCGCTGGCTCAGCTCGTCATCGGTACTTTTGACATGACCGTTCACTCGCCCAAGACCCACGAGGAGGCCAAGAATACCAACTACGGCAAGCTATGGAACCAGCTTCGCCACGATATTTCTGGCATCAAGGGCCCGGAGGATGCCGGCGAAACAATGTATGACGCCCCTGACTTTGTCCTGTTTCTTCGGGTTGACTGTATACTAACGCGTGATAGTGAATGGGGCAATCGATATGCCAACATTGGCCACTTCCTCGGCGGTTATGACGCCGGTTACTATGGCTACCTCTACTCGGAGGTCTTCTCCCTGGACATGTTCCATTCCTTCTTCAAGAAGAACCCCATGGACGGCAAGGAAGGTCGACGATACCGCCACACCGTGCTGGAGCGTGGCGGCAGTATTGAGGAGATGGAGTTTTTGAAGGAGTTTTTGGGCAGAGAGCCCAGCACGGAGGCATTTTACGAGGAACTGGGTATTGCTACGAAATAAGGGTTGGCAGTTTACGGCCAAGGCAACGAGCATCAGCAGTTACAGTCAAAAAGAAAGCATTGCATGTATACATTCCGGGGGACTGAATGAAGGCTACTTTTGGTAGTTACTATGCTATTCACTCATCCTTCATCATGGCTCATCCAAGGGGAGCAAAAAGAGCCAAAAAATGCGACCTGTGTGGATCGAACACACGACCTTCAGATATCAGGTGATTGAAGTTGGAACTTCAGTCTGACGCTCTCCCAGCTGAGCTAAGGTCGCATTGCAATTGTTGACGAATCGGCGCCGTTTTCCATATTATACAGCCTAGACGAAATTTTGTGTGCGGAAGAGGGCTCGAAAACGAAGCGTGGGGGTTACATGGTGAGATGGTGGGGATTTTGAGAGGTGGGGAAGGCTTCGAATTCGGGGAGGGAGAAGCACGTGCAGCTTTGACAAATTGGGTGGAACGTGAGTACATATGGCATTGTAGTTAGTATAAGGTAGGATTTGAGCTTTGTAGGACTTTTGGACGGTTTTGAGGCGGGTGTCCAGAATCTTGTGAGGCTGAGTGTGCTTTTGGCGTCCGATGAGTAGTTTGAATGAGCACATTGGAGAGAGAACTCACACTACAGAGTATGGCATTCATCATCTGCGTTCCGTCGGAGGCAGACGCCCCCGCGATCTCAACGGTGCACCTCCGCGCCATGGACGAGAACCTCCTCACGCACGCGCAGTTTCCGAGCCCGGAGGGGTTGCGCTTTTTCCACGGGTGGCTGGCGAGGGACACGGTTGGGCATCTGGCTGATGGTGATGAAAATAAGGGGGTTTTGGTTGCGAGGGAGGAGGAGGAGGGGAGGGTTGTGAGTTTTGTGAAGTGGCTTGTTCATCGGCCTGCTGCTGCTGCTGCTGGGCATGATGACGAGGAAACGAAGAAGGACGGGGGTGAAGAGGAGTGGCCGGAGGTTGCGAGGGCAGAGTATTTGGATCCTTATGCGGAGTTGACGGGGAGGGTTAGGGATGGGGTTTTGGGGAAGGGGGCTGCTTATTATCGTGAGTTTTATCTTTTTCCACCTCTGGTGTTGATGTTGTTGCTCCTTTATGCTGCTGTTACTGATCGCAGATGCTAACACTGGAATCCAAGACCCAACATATCTCTGTACAGATCCAAGCTTCGCCGGACGCGGAGCCGCATCGCTGCTCCTCAGAAAAGTGCAGGACCTCGCTGCTGCAGAAGGGCTGCCTGTCGTGCTGGAGGCTACGATGAATGCCATTGGGTTCTACGAGAAGATGGGGTTTGAGGTGAGGGATGAGTTGTCGATGATGTTGCCGGCGAGGGGTGCGAGTGAGCCCACGGAGTTTTATGAGGAGAGGTGTATGGTTTGGATGCCGCCGGGGAATGGGGGGGATGGAGGAGGAAGGGGGTTGTGATAGGGTAGGGGAGGGGAAACTGAAGATGAAGTTGAGATGGATGTATAATATGGAGTGGTTTGCTTTGATTAGAGTGTTTTGTGGTTTACACGGAGTTTAGACGAACCCATTGATGAACGACATTTGATACTGATCACTCCATGACATCGATCTTAACAGAGCCGAGGGGGCTGAAGTTGAAGACAACATCTCGAATGTTGGCACCATGGAGGAAATGAATCTCCACATGCACGTGGCATATAGCCTGATTGAGATGTTTTGTCAACCTGTTATCAATCTCATTTTCTCCACGGGGTATGTACATGGAAGTGGTATTTATCGATGACAGCTAAACTTCGTCTAGGTTGTCCAGAAACTAATTGGATGGCGGCTTCATCAACGGACGGACTTTGTGTGTGCCAAAAGCCGAGACGGAGGAGAAAGAAATCTCGCTACGTAGTATAGTATCATCTCATCATGAACTGGACCGCGGGCCGTTTCCTAGATCGCGCATTTACCGTCTACCAGCACTTTACATCCCATGACGTCCACCGGGTCCGACTTGAGCGGTTGACGGCGCCTTGCGTGGTGGCGATCTGGGTCTTTATCCCGGAGGGAACTTTGAGATGCTGTTGATTGGATCGGCCTTGAAACCGTTGCTATAAAACAAGGCAGTTTGTTGCTACGTTAACCTGACTTTCTGTGTTTGTAATAGCGGGCTTTCGAAGAGACCGAAGATCGGGATCCGTTTGACGGGGCCGGACGAAGAATCGGCGCGCGGCTCAGTTGCGATTATCTACCGCATAAATGCAAACTGCTCGGACTGTCCGCCACGAACTAGGCGTTTACGCGTTCTATACGACGGGTGGCGCGCTCTTTCGGATATCCCCAGAGCCAGAAAAGGCCTCAAATATCGGTCGAGTCTCGAAACAAATACTATTGTACATGTCCGGTATCAGACTCGCGTGCAGTTTACATGATGTGTGGGGGGCACGTGTGTGTTCCGTGGTCAAGGGGGGTCCCCGTGGCGATGATCCGAACTATTTTCGTCTCGTTTTCCGTCTTGCTTTGCATGATAACGACGAGGAAGAAGATGGGGGCAAATGGGCAGCAGTACGGAGTAACTTGGCCGGCTTTTCCAAAGACTGGGATCGAGTACCACAAGTAGTACGTTTGATGATCGCGTTGCTCGGCTGCGCGCCTCGGCGTATCGACGATGAGAAAAGTTGCGGCTTGTTACAGTTCAGGAACTCGGCGCCGAGGAGAGCTGCACGGCACCAGAGATGTTGCCTGAAAAGCACCAATGAGGCTGAATCAAAGATGCGCCGCAGTCACTCGTGCATTGACAAGGGACAGGGGATTGCCGAAGTGTGCAATGGGAAAGGGGGGCTTTTCGGTGACATGCCAGCTTTGGGGAGAACTCGATGGCCATTACGTGAGAGGTATTCCAGGCCTGCGGGAGGATGGTTTTCGATTTGGTAATAGGAGGGGACTAGTTTGAAGGGGACGGGAGTTGTATGTCTGTTGCTGGCGGAGCCAATCAAGTGATGTTGTAGTAACTGCTTATTTATGCTGACCAGATGCGGAGTGCTTTGTGTGAATGCTTGTCAAGGTGCCTTGGGGTCTGGTGTTTGATCGCAGCAATGAGATATCACGAGACAGCCGGTCAACAGCATCAGATCCATAGCGTCTCGTACAGTACAGGCAGTTCCCTCCACAGTGACGTCTCAATAAGAAACGTTCAAGCTCAAGCACCAGTCCAGGCACCCAAGAGACCAACGGAATTGGCTCGATGCCGTCCGAATCTGATCTCCAGCTGTCGGTGGAGAGCCCCAAGATGGTGACGTACATCCATCTCCTAGCGCGACTCTCCCGTGGACTGCACATACAGCATGGACGGTATTACCCGCCAAGCGCGCTGATGTGTCGGCTTTATCTCTTGCGGTTGATAATTTCGATCCGTCACCGATAAGGCAACGGCTGCAAGGCCCGATTCAACTACTACTACGGAGTACTAGCAGCAGAAACGGCGCCGGCAACGCATCTGCCTCGCAGGGCCTGCGCCCGTTAGTAGTATGTACTATGTACTACTCCCCCCACACCTGCGTGCTTGACGGAGATGGGATCAAATCAAATGCAAGGACCCTGATTTGACTGTGCTGTAATTGGTAGGGGGAATTTAGGCACTGCCTGCCGAGGACTGGTGAGATGATTCGCACGGAATACGGTGCATCGATGCTCAACTTCAAGTCGAGAGTGATGAACAAAAGCAGCTGCATCATTCATACTCGTTACTACAGCCATCGCTGCGCTGCGTCACATCTCATCTCTCACGCGTACGAGCACGCATGCTGCTCTCGTACAGGGAGACAAGTCGCATCACAAGTGGCTCCTCGGCTGCGCTTTGTCAAAGGCATCGCGGCTGCCTGCGTGTTTCTGGTTACTCCCTCTCATGAAGCATGCATGAATGGGCCCATTGCCTCCGTAGTCGTTCCCCCATTGACCTCTTGGTGTTCTTGGGGATCAATGATGCTGCCTATTACCAGTACTCCGTCGCAAGCACTAGCCTTCGGGGAGAAGCGCGAGAGACCAGACCTGAAACCAGGTGTTCGGAAACACGCACGAAAAGCCACCGAGACATTTGCCGTGCTTGATTGAGTCAGAGACCAGTACAATATCTACTAGTATACAGAGTATCACTATCTCCGTCTCTTCAATTCCCTTGCCTCGCAGACTCGGCTCCCATGGTGGCTCTGTAGTGTAGGTAGGCAAAAGAAGACGGATGGAGCAGCGCTGTGAGCATTGCGTTGTTGCTGTTGAGCATCACCTTTACCTCACCTGCCAAGCGCGCCTAGCAAGCACCGAGGGTGCAGCTGTGCCACTGGGACTCCTGTCGAGCATTTCCAGTACGTACAAAATACTCGACGTCGTGCCTGTAATCATGCCAACGTCTGAGTCTGTATCCCACACTTTGATGGACGGGATCCATCAGCTTCGTCCAATCCTGTCCAGCCCGATCTAAGATACTACTAGAGAGGTACATGTAGCCGTAGTAGGACGTTGAGTAATGGTGACCCGCTCATCGGCGCAATTCGCGGCGACGGACCGCGTATTTTGTACGTGATAGACCATCGAGCCGATACTGATGGTTCAGGTCCCTTTTCCGATGTCTTACTGTGCCGGCTTGGTGCAGCTGATAACTGAGGCTAGACCGCAATCCTGAGATGGTTCGACCAACTCATCTCAACACCTCAATTCTCTCAACCCAAGCATCACGACAACGTTCAGACTTGATACATGCGTACCTCCCTGTTCAGCCGGTACCATTTCGTCAAGGATTACTCCGTACCCGCCAAATCGTAAGCAACCAGGACCCTTCACCTCCTAGTCATCGCGAGGCTGCCCGAGATCGCCAAGCAAACGCCATTTTTACAAACCGCCGCGGCTGGGTTGGCTCAAGCCGGACTCGTCACTAGCATCGGCGAGGGACCGGCCCAAAGGCGTGCCATCGCTTGTGTGACAATCCATGCACACTGGGTCCGTTCCGGTAAAAAGGGTAGCCCTGGTCTGGGGAAGCACATGTCATTGTCACTGTCCAGTCCAGTCTGGAACTCATCTCGACGCCTTTGCCCTCTCTCTCTCTCTCTCTCTTCCTCTTTCTTGCCTCGTTTTGACTTCTTCAAAGCAATAGCAACCCCGGATTGCTGTCTGCAGCTACTAATCGTCGGCCATTTCCGGAAGCCAGAGACGCGACGGAGAGAGTGACGAACCGAGAATAGAAGAAAGACGAAAGAGGCTGCTGCGTGGCTATCCGACCTCCTGCATCTCGCCTCGTCTCCGGCCTTGCCCGTTCAGCTGCTGCTGCTGCTCCGGCCGTTCATCATCTGTCATATCCTTCGCACATAGCTACGGCATCTGCTGATACCGCCGCGTCTTGCGTATCTGTGCCGCCCAAAACTGGTCCGATGTCCTTCGTCAGAAGAAGCTCCTAGCAGTCTCAAGTTGATGAAGGCGACACCAACAAGGCAGCGCAAAGAACCAGTGGTGACCTCGCCAGCTTTATACTCGACAGGCGGCCCTCGCCCCCGGTTCAAATGACGCCGATAACCAAAGCGTACCTCATCCTGGCCACCATCATCACCTGAAGATCCTCCCCCAGAAGAAACGCGTATCTCACCACTTCAGCCGTCCTTCTTATCCCCCTCCCCAACCAGCTGCTGCTCGCAACCGGCCGTCCTTGGCGGAGACCAGCGACCGGGTCGTCGACCAGTCCTGCTCGTGCTCCTTATCTGCTTCGGACTAAACAGTAGCGCCACGCCCTTTTCCAGCAACCTTATCACGGACACCCACAAAAAAAAGCAACCAGGGCCGATCTCAAGACAGTTGGCCTGGCCACCCAGTGCTGCAACAGTTGCGCTTTTGCCTGGTCGTTTGCTTATCTCTCCGCCGTTTCCGTTATCGGGCGAGTCGACAGACGCTCGTCCGTTTCGATTTCTCGGCCAGCACTCGAGGCTCGTTTGAATCTGCGCAACTGGTTGCGTCATACCCGAGTCTTGCCAGGCGTGGGGAGCCTCGTTCCAGCCTGGGGCGGCGAATAGCATCACTCCCAGAGTCTGGGGACCGTCGCCTCGAGTAGCCTTCCCGCAAGCCTCCTCTCTTACCCCCCGCCCCTCTCACCACACCACGTCCAGGGCTGCTTGTGACAGACGCTGTTGCGGGTTGTTGCTTACTTGATACTGCTTGTTGCTATCTCTGAGAAGCACTACTGGGGACTAGCTGCCAGCAGACGCCTCCATCTCTATCTCTCTTGGAGTGGCCTCGTATCTCCAGCACCTCACTTATCTGCAGCATTCAACTTACCTATACGCAGCACCTAATACCACGTACATATCGCGGAGTACATTAGCTGGATTCTACTGGATACCACCTTGCTACAGACTAACGCGCATACGCACGAGCTGATACCCGTCTTGACTGGCCCAGCCATGGCCCATGACGCTCCTATCCAGCGCACGGCACCAATCGCCATTGCTCCCAAGCCTCCTCGGCCGGAGCCACTCCCACTCCCACGCCGTCAGAACAGCTCCCACAGGTTCGAGATAGGCCCTGGGAGCCTGCATGGCAGGGGGTCCGTCGACTCGGGCTCCTTCACTGGGGCTCCCGCTCCCCCTTGCCAGGCCTGTCGCTTCTCTGGCACCAGGTGTACCGTGGCCGAGGATGACGATGGCTGCATGCCCTGTCAGCTCAACGGCACCGAGTGCTCGCTAGTGGCCCCGAGCCCTCAGACCCGTAAGAGGAAGCTTAACGGGGATTCTGCCGATGAGAGTGTCAAGAGAGGGTCAGTATTGCCGTTGTATTTTCCGTTGAGCTCGCCTTCTTGCCTTGTCTTGCCTTGTCTTGCCTGCCTTGCATTGCGTTGTTTCGTCTTGTTTTGCTCAGCCTTTGCCTCGTCTCGCCTCGCCCCGTTACCCATCTTATTCTGCTTCTCTTCTTCCCCCCTCTCTGGCCCCTGGTGTAGGACCGTCTCGCTTCGACTCGTTCCACCACATGATCTCCTGCCTTATCCTGTCCCTCGCAGCCAAACAAACGTCCCACGCTGCACAGCCATCTGACACATGATTGGCGTTCTAGCTCCCCCGGTATTGCCAGCCGCAGAAACAACAACTCGAGCCTCTCCAGCACCGCCGCCAGCAGCTCATTCTTGGAAGACATGGCCAATGTCGGCGGCCCCACCATGCTCAAGCGGACACTAGGTCTCCAGGAAGACCGGTACAGCCAGTATATCGGCCCCACGACGGATTTCGAACCCTCTCTCATCAATCTCTCGCCCTTTGACACGCATGACGAGAGCCTTTTGGCCCGCGGCACCCTCCGCAAGGTCAGCGACACGGACACCTTTCTCATGCTTCCGGACCAGAATACGCCCGGATACGACCATGTAGTGGAGGATCTCGACGCCATCGAGGCCATCGTCGCCCCGAACGGCCGCAAGCTCATCGACCTGTATTTCCGCGTTGTCCATCCGGGCATGCCGATCATCCAGAAAACCGTCTTCATGGAAAAGTATGAGCGGTCCTATCGCGAATTCTCGCCGCCCATCCTCGCCGCCGTCTACATCCTCGCCATCAACTGGTGGGATCACCACGATGAGCTATCCAAGCTGCCTCGCCCCGACGTGCGCGCGCTGGAAAGACTCGTCCGTAGCACTCTCGAAGACGCCATGTACCGACCGAAGCTGTCGACCGTCCAGGCTGGGCTGCTGCTGTCTCAGCGACCCGAAGGCGACCAGTGGGCTCCGACGGCCCAGCTGGTTGCCATTGCTCAAGAGCTCGGCCTCCACCTGGACTGCTCGGGATGGAAGATTCCGCCGTGGGAAAAGGGGCTGCGAAGGCGCTTGGCGTGGGCTCTATACATGCAAGACAAATGGGGTGCCCTCGTCCACGGGAGGCCGTCTCATATTTTCCCCTCCAACTGGGCCGTCCGACCGTTGCGTGCCAACGACTTTCCCGACGTTGAATGGGACGAGAACGATCAGGAGGAGCGTCAAGACATAGAAAAGGGCCGTCTCGTATTCACACGGTTTGTGCAGCTGTCCGAAATTCTCTCCGTGATTCTCGACACATTCTATACTCTGCAGGCCATGCAGACCGTCTCCAACGCTGGCTCCGGAGGGACGCAGCTGGTCTTGTCGCTGGCGAAGCCCATCCAGCTCAGGCTCAAGGATTGGTACGCAGGACTGCCCGCCAACATTCGACTGGACTCGTACTCGGCGAGCAGAATGTCGTCGAGGCTGTCGTGCGTCGGCTACCTGCACCTGGGATACTTTGCAACGGAAATCACCCTCCACAGGCGCATCATCCGATCGTTGGCATCCAACACGTCGTCAGTGGACTCGTATGTGCAGCACATCTGCCGCAGCGCCGCCAAGGCTCGCCTGATCTCGGCCATGGACTTTGTCAACCGACTGATGCCGAACCACATCCAATCTTTCTGGTACTTTGCCTCAAAGACCAACTTTGCCCTCATTGGAACGTTTGGATCTTTGCTCTGGGCGACATCGCCGGGTCGAGAAGAGGCGGAGTGGTATAGACGGCGACTGGGCGAATATCGGTGGACACTGTCGGTCAGCTCCAAGCCGGGCCAGAGCAAAGGCCTGACGGAGTTTGCCATGACCATGCTCGACATCTCGACGGGCCTTTTGAAGCAGCTCCCGGAGAAGCCGTCGATGAGTCGCAACGGTAGCATGGCAGACTTTTCCGCAATGTCCATGCCCAGCTCCTATTCCGGCGGAGTCAACATCTTGGGCAGCTTCAGCAACTTGCCCAGCACGGACGTCAGCAATGCCCAGAGCCCTCGCAGCGAATCGGAGAGCAGCGACGAAGGCATGGAAGATGACGATTACGCGACGCCCATGTGAAAGCAGACGCCGCACATTCTGCTTTCTCCGTTCCTCCCCCTTTGTTACTCTCAGCCTTGAATATGTGAGTTGGAAGCGAATGAATGATTTCGGCAACAGTGGTGTGTCGGCACTTCTGGTATGAGTATTAGTATTGCTTTCGCCCCATTCCACTAGCAAGATAGAGGAGTTTGATGACTTTACGCTTGATGGTTTTGTTTTCTTCTCCTGTCTGTACTTATTTTTGTTCCTCTTCTTTATGATTCCTCTTTTTCTGTTCGTTCCGGAAGCATGTCATGGTAGGAGGTGGTAGAGCAGATACCCGCTCGGAGGCCAGCGGGGATTCGAACGTGTTCCACACAGGCGTTTAAAGGGAGGTGACGGGATGGTATTTTGCAAAGACATAACGAAGCAATTGGATGAACGAGATTGTTAGGAGAGTGGCAGTCCAGCAAAGATGACAATTTTCTTTCAATTTCATGCGAATATGGCGTGCTCGCCTTGATGGAGATGACGTGACGGTTGATGCCATTTGCGCCGTCTGACTGATGAGTTGGCCATGTGCCTGTCTTCACACATATTACCCTATTCGTAAATTGGCACGACTATACTAGGGCAATGGCATATCGAGGAAGCACATAAGGTATAATTAAGCTCAAGATGCTCCCCCAGCATCCCCGGAGATTTCTCTTGCGATGTCCCAAGACCCCTGGCAAACGGGTTTCCCAATTGGGAGAATTATGCGCCACAATTGCAGGACCTCTGTGAGATGCACCGCCACAGCGCAGGATGCTCTGGGCTGCTTCAATTGAGAGTTGAAACGTAACCCTCCGTGTCCTCATTCCTCGGCCAATTTACCGGCTGATGTTGAATCATTCACTTCAGATGCAGGTCATTTGAAGCCGTTTTCGTGGCATAATCCCTCTTTTATCCCCTTGCTTTGCTTTTCTTCTCCGTTCTTTCTAGCCTTGCCCTCACTCCGCTCTTGAATTCATCCCAGGTCTTGCTTCATTGATAGCCGGGCCAACAGACGCCATGGCGCGCCAGAAACAAGCAAAGCCAGCCAAAGACGATGCCGCAGACTCGTCTCTGGGATTCACTCCCGAGCGGTTCGAGCGGGAGCTCAAGGACCTCGCGGCCAAGGCGAAGAGCGACACGCGGGCCAACCGCCTGCTCGGCCAGGCGACGCTCTACGTCAAGACGGCGGTGCTGCTGACCCTGCTGGGCGTGTACTCCAACGCCTCGCAGCTGGCGCTGTCGCCCGTCTACGGGTCCGTCCCGGCGGCGGCGTGGCACTCCAGGGCGCTCATGGCCGGGTGCTTCGTCGGCTGGGCGGGGAACCTCGCGCTGAGGCAGCTGCTGCCCGTGAAGACGGCGAAGCTGCTGCCGCTGGTGGCGCTGTACGTGCCCGTGATGCAGTGCTTCCTGTATCGGTTCAGCCAGGCGCTGGGGCCGAGCTACGGGCCGCTTGTGACGGAGGGGGTGACGTTGGTTCCGCTGGCGATTCTGACGGCTTCTTGCGTGGCGGACAACTTAGAGGATGTGGATCTGAGTTCGTTGCCCAAGGGGCTGGGAGATGCGGTTCCTGGGATTGGATCTTGGGGGACGTTTAAGCTGGTCGAGCACGTTGCGGAGAAGCTCCTGCAGAAGCACGTCGGGACGGTGTTTTGGTACACGCGGATGGGCCTGGAGATTCTGCTTGCTGGGTCCTACGCGGTGTTTGCGCCCTCCAAATGGCTCGCCCTCGCGATCCCGGCGCTGGTGCACACGGCCATGTTCAACCCTCACGTGGCTACGCCGGCGGCCACGGCACTGTTGAATACCACCATGGCGGCGGATCACTGGCTGCTGCTGGACCGGCGGGAGTCGGTGACGGGGTACATCTCGGTGGCTGAGAACACGCAGACCAAGATGCGCGTTATGCGGGCTGACCACAGCTTGCTGGGGGGAGATTGGGTGGAGTGGCGTGGGAATCAAGTGACGGAGCCTATCTACGCCGTCTTTGTGAATCTGGAGGCCATTCGCTTGGTTGAGAGGGAGAGGCCGGTGGCGGATTCAAAGGCCAAGGCGCTGGTCATGTAAGTTGCTTCTTGCATTTCCCCCTTTATCATACTACGAGGCTTATCATGTGCAATCAATTTAGTGGCCTTGGTATTGGCACGATGCCGTCCGCACTTGTGTCTCATGGGATTGAGACTACTGTTGTGGAGATTGACCCAGCTGTGTACGACTTTGCTCAAAAGTACTTTCAGCTCAGGGAGAATCGCCCTCCTGTCATCGAGGACGCGGTCAAGTACGCTAACAAGGCCGCCAACGAGACCAAGGAAGTCTACGACTATATTGTTCATGACGTCTTCACTGGAGGCGTAGAGCCTGTGGCCTTGTTTACCTATGAGTTCCTGAACAACCTTTACACTCTGCTGAAGCCAGATGGAGTCATTGCCATTGTGCGTCCCCCCTTTTGCTTCCATCCTTATCGCTGTATATGAGTCGTGCTAATCTGAATGGTAGAACTACGCGGGCGATTTGATGCTGCCTACGTCAAAGACGATTGTCCGGACGATTATGAAAAACTTTCCGACTTGCCGCCTGTTCAGGGAGAACCCTCCAGACAAGAGGGCCGTTGCCGAGACGGGCACGGATTTCACCAACCTGATCATCTTCTGCCGCAAGGTCGATAAACTCACCTTCCGCGACCCGGTACCGGGGGATTACCTGAACAGCCCGTCTCGACAGAGCTTCCTGACTCCTCAGCATGAGATCTCGCCCCGGGACTTGTTCGCCATAGGCAAGGACGAAGAGGGCAGCGTCCTGTACAGGAACGGGACGGACAAGGCTAGCGAAGGGCAGCAGGCGAATGCGGCTGGACATTGGGCGGTTATGAGGACGGCGCTTCCGGCTCGTTTCTGGGAGAATTGGTAGAAGAGGGGGCATTTTCATCCTGATACGGTTTATATGAAAGCCGTTCTACTTTTCTTGATGTATACTTGTCCTTTAACCATCTCATATTCTGAACCTTCTTCGTGTACCATAGACATCCGAACCACCCAAGAAGCGCATCTGAAGTTTGGCCCGCCAACAATCTATTTCTTCGCAGCCGCAAAAACATACTCCTCATTCTCCCTATTATACTCCCTCACAAAATCCTTGACATCCGCCGGCGTCTCGACCTTACTGTAGCCCGTAGGAATCGGCTCCCCGATCCGCGTAAACACAGGCAAGACGCCCGTCCAGACCCTGCCCTGGGCCTCGTCGTCCTCCAAGTCGTGCCTGTCGTCGCGCACGCCGCCGTCGCGGAACTTTGCGCTGCCGGAGGCGACGGCGACCCTGAGGATGCTGGTGCTCTGCATCTCGGCGGGCGTGGGCGGCTGGCGGGAGGCGGCCCAGCGGCCGGGGACGATGCCGTTGGTGATGAGCTCCATGGCGTAGAGCTTCTCGGCGTCGTCGGTGACGAGGGTGGCGTGGCCGAAGAGGGTGGCGGAGCGGTAGTTGTAGGAGTGGTTGAAGGGGGAGGTGGCGAGGATGAGGGCGTCGACGTGGGATGCGGCTATGCAGACGGGGAGGCCTTGCTGTTGTTGTTGGCCTTGGCCTTGCTTTTCCTCCTCATCATCACCACCTTGAGAGGAGGAGGCAGAGGAGCGGGCGAGGTTCATCATGCGGGAGGAGACGTAGCCGTGGAGGTAGAGGTCGAGGGGGTCGCCGAGATCCGCGCTGGGACGGTCAAAGGAGCCCATGTGGCCGATCATGGGGAGGATGGTGGGGAAGGGGGAGTCGTCCGGGGGGTTGAAGGCGACGTCGAGGAAGTGGGAGGCGTTGATGAGGGAGTGGATTGCCGAGAGGGCGTAGGTTGCGCGGTCGGCTTTGCGGCGGACGGTGTTGGTTTTTGATTTGGGGTATTCGAGGGTGTGGCGGCCCATTTTGATGGACAGTTTGATGAGAGAAGTGTGTTTGCGTGTGGAGGTTTGGGGGGGGCTGAAGGGAAGTTGAGTTGATGGGGTGAGGATTTTTGTGTAAGTCGAGAAGATGGGGCTTGCTTGAAGATGGGACTGCCTATCTGGGCTGTGTTTTGACTTGAAGAAGTTTGGATGGATGGGGTAGAGCAGTGATCGTTGACCTGGTCTTTTATAAGTTCAAATGTTAGAGTATGTATGCCGGTCCCTTCGCAAGTTGAGTCAACATGTGACTCTTTTGCTCACGGACCGGAATACTTGACGACATGAATCCTATTGCCCCGGAAGCGGCAGCACAGGCACCGGGCCGGTGTCCGGGATATCAACATGAAGGGGCTGGTGACATCAAGGCGTCTTGATGAACTATTGGAAGAGGGCAATTGGCCGGCGTTATAACGACTAGTGGAGGAGAGGAGTGTTTCTATAGGTATGCTCGTATGTAAGGTTAATGCACCTCAAATCTGTAGACGTGGGCGGAATTGCCTTTCTGGAGGAAGTGCAAGTCGGGGAGAGTGGGGGAAGTGGCTTGAGGACTAACAGGATTCACGACTTACACGATGCCTCGTAGAATTGGGGGTATATACCTGTAGGGTACGTTGCATGGGCGTGGATGCGATTCCTTCGTGTATCCCATATTCAGGAAGAGACATGACGCCAACGAGGACCCAATGCCTTGGATTGCAGGTATGTAATCGTGTTGATAGGATTGGAGCAAGAGGTTGCGATCATGTTGGAAGCGGCTTGAGGCGGGTAAAAGATTGAGCGCTGGTTGACCTTGAGTTCTTGTTGCTGTTTAGTAATAGTTGGAGTCAACTTGGAGAAGCACTCGGTGCGGCTGAGAGTGGCTAGAAGGGGGCTAATCTGATGTCTACTTTGAGTTGCTGTGGGAGTTGGATGTAGATTTGTGGAAAGGGTCTCGACTTGGAGGGCGATGTACCGAGCTCATCTGGACGAGATTCATCCAGATAGCTTGGTTTGGATCCATTGAGATGAATAAGTGATCAAGGGTAGACAGATGAGAATGTCGCGAGCCTCTTTCAAGGGCCACCGCGCTGACTACCTCGGCCGTCGTATGGATACGACAGTGCTCGGACGTGCACAGGCAGCGTGACGCCTGGTTTGGTCAAGACAGCTTCTATTTTTACGTGCTCTCGAGTGGTTAACCCACTATCAATCCTACACAACCAACTACGAGTATATCTCGGATGTGCGAGCAAAGCACCACCTAGAAGCAAGATTGTGACGAGATCGGGACCAAGATCGACGCAGGTTCTGGTATGAGATTGGAATAAGGTAGAGACGAGACGAGCTGATTGCCGCTTGTGGCGGTGCAAACAGGCTCCCTGTGCTGTGGCTCAGTTGCCCGAATTCGACCTCTTCAGACGAACCGGTGCCTGCCAAGGCGGTCAGGGACAGGGTACAGGGTACAATATGTACATGGGGGCTTGGATCATGGAGTCCCTTGTCGCATGAGTCTTGCCCTCTTCCAACATCTGCCAGAACTCGCATCACGGTCAAAGCACATACAAAGTCCAGGCGTTTCTCTCTTTGACGCGCATTTCGGACCCGAGCAACGACGCACCGCTTGTCTGCAATCTTATACTACGTCCAAGCCTCGGTGCAGATCCCCGTGCATGGCGATGTGAGATTTGATCTCCAACTGGCCGCTCCACCAGCGCTGCGACCGGGGGAGCTTATTAGCTGTTGGACAGCGCGTGATCGATGACCAGGACAGCCTCAGTCGAAACACCAGCGATGGCAGCATCCAAACGAAAAGAACCTCATGGCAACAGGCGGCGGCAAATTCTTCATCTTCTGACTCTCCTCGTTCCCTCGTGTGCAGACAACCCACCCCGGTCGTTTCGTTTGCCCGTGCTAGAACAGGAGTCTCTCGTGTGTAGCATCTTTTGCACACCATGCGCGTCTCCCGACATTGGAGGTTTCAAGTGAAACGACACCACCCCGGAGACTCCTCTTGCTAGCCCAATCCAGCCTCTGCCTCCCCCCAAAGAGCGTCTGGATCGAACGCTGCCGTGTGTCAAGTTGAAGGGACTGTGGTTCTTGGCAGCTCGAGTTGTCAAGAGACGGACAGAGAGAAGAAGATTGAAGCCTGCTCCCAGTCGCATCTCTGCCCCCCTTCCCTGCCGCCATGGGTGTCATCCCAGAAGTTGGAGATAGTCTATTGTGTGGCACCCGTTCCTGAGCCTTCTCTTCTCTTCTCCTCTCTCCTCTCTCTCTCTCTTTCGCAACTCACACTTTCTCTGCTGTCTTGGAGATTGACAGCATCTCGTCGGAGTTGTGAGGAGTTGTCGGACCTTCATTATGCTTCAGTTCTGTTCTGGGTGCTGATACCTTTTTTTTTTCTTCTTCTCTTCTTCCTGTGATTTGGTTTACCACCCGTCCTCTCGTTATTTTCTTATTACGACTTCTGTGTCGCCCATTGACTGGGTGTATTATTTCTCTTCTTTCCAATCTTTAATAGTTCAACTTACCATCTGGTGTCGCTGCAATGGCAGGCTCCAGCAGCGCCCCGGCTCTGGCCGCCACCATCGTCTTGTTCGTGATACCCGACGTCGACCTCGATTAGCGAGACATCCCGAAGAGATCGCCGTGTACTAACTTGTAGGATCCGCAACCGTTCAGTGGTCTCGTTGTTCTGGCCGCGTCCACGGCCATCCTTTTTTTCTTTGTCAAAGCGAGTCGATCGCCTCTCCTGCGAAACGAGTTGAGGCTGGCCCTCTCCTTTTTCCTCGCAGCCTCGGCAATTTGGGCATTCATCGAACTCGGCGCTTCGCTTGTTCACCATCCCACCTCGACGTGTCAGACGCTCATTTTATTCGCCACCGTCTTCGACCAGGTCGCTCGAGTCTCGGTGGAGCAGTTCTTTCTCTGGGCGTACAATGGGGGAATCAAGGCCTCGACCATGTCGCTGGCTCTGCAAGGCGCCCTCCTCGTGCGGTTGATCATGGGTGCAATCTTCGTGGCAGTTCAACGACCCCAGTTCGCCCCGGTGTGCGTCGCCAGCAACATGATTCTGCCCGTCGGCGTCATTGTTTTGGCGGCTGACATGGGCATGTTTGGTGTCCTCGCGACCAAGGCTCTCCTGGCGAGGAGGGACAACTCTGGCCCGGCGCGTTCCAACACGTTGATCTTTTTCACCGCCGCGTTTGGCATCTGGACGGGAGTCAGTACCGCTTGATATCGAGAAGTAGTGGAGGAGAGAAAGCGCAGGTCGAAAGGCTAACATGGAACCATAGTTGAGCATTCCTCTTTTTCTGGGGCTCGAGTCCACTGGCTATGCTTTCCGAACAATATTGCCTGCCGTCGGTCTGCTGATCCTTATAGGTATGTCACGTCTGTTTGAACGCAAGAGTCTCTTACTTATCAACAATAGGAATTGTGGCCCTCTCTACGACGGGGCTGGTCTCGCTGCCTACGACGTCCATCTTACACTTCCACAAGGGCGGATCGTTTGAGTCGGCAAATGTCGAGATGGAGACACGCAATATTCCGGATCCTGCCCCTTCGCAGGGTGTAACGTCAAACGCGCCCCCCGTCCTGCCTCTCATCCGACAGCCTTCCTCCGGCAGAGGTATTGGTGGGCTTCCTATCGAGGGCGAGTTGTTCCCCCCTATGCGACCCCAGGAGGTGACTTTCAAGCCGCATTCCAAGAAGCAAATGACGGAGAAGGCGTTTAATGGAGGTAAGATTGTCATTTCGAAACCGGTCATAACGGCAACCACGGACACGAACGCCTTCGACCACATTCAAACCATCGACCTGGCTGCCGCGGCGGTGAAAGAGCGAGAGCGCCGCGAGAAGATTTACCCCTTGGTGAGCTTTGACGCGATGCTCAATGAACCTCTGTTCCCGAAAACGAGGGATCTCACGGCCAACTGGCAGACCTCGAACGGCAAATCTTGGTATGTCGACCAGAGCAACAGCCCGCCAGCCCAAGAGCGTTCGTTTGCCACCACCTCCGCCGTGCAGCTCTCCCCCGGCATGGATGAAACACGCAGACGGTCTCCACGACATCCCACCCAAGCTGGTGCTCCCTCCACAGTGGAAAACGAGACCCGAACACCAAGGACAGTGCCATCGCCGAGCTCGACCAAGACGCTGCTTTCGAATGACAACTCCCAGGAGCCAAAGTCGGCGACTGCACTTCCGCCATTCACGACAGTGTCAGCAATGTCGGCGTTCTCGTCTCTTACAGCGCTTCCAGCAGTCCCAGCAGTCCCCTCTTCCATTGACCAGTTCTTGGTGGATCCTAGAACCGCGTCTCTCCCTCGAAGCAAATCCGTCAAGAACGACATTCGGCCATCTCGGCGCCGACCCCAGTCGCCTGTCGAGACGGGGGAAGTAAAGGACACGAAGACGCCTGTCCAGCGAAGGGCGACTGTAGGGCTGCCGTTTAATCCAAGATCACGGGCGACCAGGATGTTCACCGGGCAGCGAGGAGCTGGCAATGACCAGCCGATCATGTTCTTCAATCCCGAGGAGAGTAGTGCCCCTGTGTATGCCGTGCCCGAACCCGACGACAACAGCGATGCCCTGTCCCGGAAATCTGTCATTCATCGGCCGAGGCCTATTCCTCGCAAGTCCATTGCTTCTTTGGCTGACTCCTTCACCTCTGATACTGATTCTATGGCTTCGACGGCCGAACTCCTGGCGACAGTTGCAAGCCCCATCGACGACCGTTTCACCATCGTGTCCACGCCCAAACTCCCCATGGTCTCCCCTGTGAGCGTCAAAACCCTCTCGCAGAGTTCTTTGGGCACGGTGGCGATTTCACCCGGGTCATCCGCTCTACACAAGACTGTCCGAAGAACATCCTATGTTCCCGAACTGCCGGCTCTTCCTACAGAGTTCAAGGGTCAACAGCCCAAGATTGCAGGTGATGTTGCTCCTGAGGGAACCGCTACAAGCATTTGGACAGTCGCTCCGAATGAGCACGCTCCCTTCTCCTTGACAAACAATGATGAGCCGCAGTCGGCTTACCATAACAAGCGGTTTTCTGTCAACACCCAGTCATCGTACGAGGGAACCATTGGCCGGAATTCGGTTGTATTTGCTTCAGATAGCAAGACGACCGCAGCGACGGCCAATCTCCTCGGCGAGCGCCGCTCACGACACGAAAGCGCCGACTCCGAACTCTCCATGATGCTGAGAGCAGCACCGCTTCCGCCTGCAGCCGACGAGGGCAACATCCCCGAAGTTCCCGCTGTGCCAGATATGTTCAAGGATGGACGGATAACGCCCTTGTCGGAGGAGGAAGAGGATGCTCAACAGGCAGCCAAAGAGTTGGCATCGTGGCACCGACGCATTGGTGAAGAGCTTCCTGGGTTCTCCTCGCAGCTGAACGATAGGAGACAGCGGAAGCTCCCGGTGCCGAAGCCCCTGGCCCTGAACAAACCAGCCAATATTACCGTGGTGGTCGAAGCTGAGCCATCACCCGAAGAGCCTGAGCAGGAGGCTCTCGATAGGATCCACGAGCAGCTCAAGAAGTTGGAGGACACAGACGCGCGTGCAACCATTAGTGAGCAGCAGCGACTGGATCTCTTGGCCAACTTGGAGTCCGAGATGGGCGCTCAAGAGTCCCAGTGGCAGATGCTCAAGGTTGACCTTGCCGCAACCCCGTTGACTGTCATCTCCACGCCAGGCGGCGTCCCTTCGGTGCGCAGCAGCGTCGATGTTAATGGACTTGCCAGGACCAGGCTCAGTGCAGGTGCCGGCGATTTGCTCCTGGCCCTCCAGGAGGAAGCCAACCGCCGCCTGTCGACTACTTCGGAGCAAACCCCCAAGGATGAGGTCAACCGCCGGTCAGGAAGGATGAGCCTCATCTCCGTGAGCTCTCGAGCCCTCTCGCAGATCGGCAGCCCTACTCCGCCAGACACTGATGAGTCGGGCGCGGATGACAGCGACAATGACAGCATGGCGGAAGATGCCAAGTCGGCCAAGGAGACACCTGAGTCGAGTACGGTCACCGGCTTTATGGCTCTTGACGAGATACTGAGCAGCTCAGTCGAAACCAAGAACCAGCCAGCCTCTCCGGTCGACTTTGAAGAAATCTCCCTGCCCACTCCCAAGGCCACGGCCCCCTTGATGCCGGCGCCTTCAGAAGAGGAGCCCAAGGCTGCGGTTGCCAACGCTTCTGAGCCCGAAAACATTCGATTCAGCCTCGCAGACTTGCAGCAGCCCGTGCCCGCACCACCACCGTCGCGACCGCGATCAATTACCCGACGACCTCCTCGCATGAGCAAGCGCATCAGTGCTCTCCCAGATATCGTCGAGAACCCCGAGCCGCTTGCCGGCCGGACAGGCTCTCTCGGTATCTTCCAGTTCGCCTGGGGCGAGAAATCTGACTCGGCCACAATGCCGATCCGCATGTCTGGCCTTGGCGGCACCATGTCCAGCGGTCGTGGTTGGATGATGAACGCTCCACCGTTGCCTATGCTTCCATCTCAAGCGCTCGCCACCCACAGCTTCTTCGAAGACGACGAAACTGATAATGGCCTGGACGGTTACGAGGACGAAGACTACGACGATGGCTTTGACGACTCAACCCTCTGGGAGATTGCCGACTTGCTGGAGGCCGATCTGGAGGGCTCTCGCGACGATCTCTTCGTGGTAGGCCACGAGGACGTGGAGGAGGTTCCCGAAGTTGCCCCTGCTGCTCCGGCTCCTGTGAAGGAGATTGCCGAGGTTGTGGAGGAGCAAGCACAGCTGCCGGCTCCCGCTCTCTGGACGGCCGTGAAGGCTTCTCAGGCGAGCAAGTCCTGGGGCCTGCCACAGCCTACTGGGGAAGCTCTGGAGGTTTTCTTCGCCGAAGCTTCCAGGCCGACTGCGCGCGCCGTTCCTCGGATGAAGGAGGAGGTAGCTTCGCTGACGAGCAGCTCCTTGTGGGAGGCATCAACTGCTCCTGTCGCGAGTGGGATGTGGTGTGAGCACAAGGGTCCTCGTGAACCAGAGGAGATAAAGACTGTCACAGCCTCTTCGACAGTGTCCTCGCTATGGTCGCCGGTCTCTGTCCCCCGTAGCACGTTGGGATTGCCGCAGCCCGATGTCCTGACGTGGAACACTTACATCGCGCTGCCGACCCGTTCTGTCCAGCGTAAGGCTACTGTGCAGAAGGCTGCTGAGATCAAGAGCACCTCGCTATGGCAACCTTCACCGGCCGTTGTATCTCCGTCAGGAGGCGTATGGGCACCCAAGACGCTGTCCGTCAACCAATACTACCAGCCGCTCCCCGTCTCCTCCAAGGTGGTCAAGGATCTGATGTGGTCTTCCACTCCCGCAAAAGCAGTTTCTTTTGGCTTGCCACAGCCCGATGCCCAGACCTGGACCACTTACATCGCCCTGCCCACCCGCTCCATCCAACGCAAGGCCAGTGTGCAGAAGAGTGACGAGATTAAGAGCACCTCGCTATGGCAACCTTCAGCAACTGCTGTCTCTCCGTCAGGAGGCGTGTGGGCGCCCAAGGCCCTGTCCGTCAAGCCGTCCCCTCGACCCCTCCCCATCTCTTCTCCCAAGGTGATCAAGGACCTACTGTGGTCTTCATCGCCGGCGAAGGCAGTTTCTTTCGGCTTGCCCCAACCTGAGGCCCATGTCTGGACGGGTTACCTTGTCCCTGAGGGTCTTAGCCACCGCGGTGCCTATGTTCCTACGATCGTTTCCATTACAAGCACGTCTCTCTGGGCGCCTACGATTCAGACTCGCTCGGAGGGCATGTGGATGCCCACGTCAAAGCCTTCAGCTGCTCTGGCCGTCAAGCCATCTCCTGAGCCCCTCCCTGTTTCTTCCACACTCGTCAAATATCCTCTGTGGTCTGTCACTCCCGCGAAGACAGTTTCTTTTGGCTTGCCACAGCCCGCGGCCCATGTCTGGACTGCTTACCTTGTCCCAGAGGGCCGTAACCACCGAGGCGCCTATGTCCCTACGACTGTCTCCATTACGAGCACGTCTCTTTGGACTCCTGCTGTTGAGACTCAGTCGGAGGGCCTGTGGATGGCCAGATCGAAGCCTTCAGCTACTCAGGAGAAGCCTCAGCCGATTGTCAAGGAGACTGCGGGCTCGCTCTGGGCTGTGCCAGTCACCACCAAGGCTTCCTTCGGCCTGCCTCAGCCCGAAGCTGATGTCTGGGCCACTTACCTTGTCCCAGAGGGTCGCAACCACCGAGGTGCCTATGTCGCTACGGTTGTCACTATCACAAGCACATCGCTGTGGTCGCCTACGATTGAAACCCAGTCAGACGGCATGTGGATGCCCAAGTCAAAGCCTTCGGCTACTGAGAAGCTGCCAGAGCTTCAGGAGAAGCCTCAGCTGATTGTTGAGGAAACTGCAGGCCTGCTCTGGACTTTGCCAGTCATCACCAAAGCTTCTTTCGGCCTTCCTCAGCCCGATGCCAAGACGTGGGAATCGTACATTCCTCGCATGACCAGCGCTTCTCTGCGCAGGGTCTTGATCTCAGAGCCTGCTTCCATCAAAAGCCAGGCACTGTGGTCTCTGTCGCCTAAGAAGGAGGCCACCTCTGGCTTTCTTTGGTGCTCGAGCAAGCCGCAGGTCGCGAAGCCTCAGCCCGTTGTTAAGAAACTTGCAGGCTCGCTCTGGACTCCGCCAGTCGTCACCAAGACTTCTCTCGGCTTACCTCAGCCTGATTCCAAGTCATGGGAATCGTATATTCCTCGCATGACCAGCACTTCTCTGCGCAAGGTCCTGATCTCAGAGCCTGCTTCCATCGAAAGCCAGGCACTGTGGGCTTCCTCTCCGAAGAAGGAGGCCACTTCGAGCCTTCTCTGGCGCTCGACCGAGGCTCAAGCTGAGCCCGTCGAGATCCTTCTGCAACCCGCTCCCACACGCACCGCTCACGTGCGCAGCTCCACGGCTGTCCTGATCACCAAGGAGCAGTGGAACTCTGCCTTCAAGAGGATCTCGCAGCAGCAGGCCCAGCCGCAGACTCAAGCGCCCGCCGAGACTCCCCAGAACCGCGCGGCCCGCTCCAAGTCGGTCAAGAGCCGCGCATTCTTCGATCCCGCCGTCATGGCTCTCATCGCCGAACTTCCCTCCCCGACCTCGTTCACCCCTCCCTCTTCACACCGCACCAGCGTCGGCCGGTCCAAGAGCGTCTCCTATTTGCCTCCCACCACCCGGAGGCCCTCTCACTCTGCTTCATCGAGCTATCCCGAGACGGATGTGCGCCCTTCTGACTTTATCTGAGCTTTCTGTCGTCTGATGAGGTGAGCGAGGTTTCCGCGAAGGAAGGATTCGTGGGCGAAGGTGAATAAAAAGAAAACGGCGGAATCGATGCCGACATTCTGGCGGAGCTCTCAGCTACGGTGTAATTCATCGAGATCAGGCAAAGGCAAAAAAGGAGTCAAGGTTTCCTGGGATTAGTTAGACAAGACAAGAGATGGGAGTCCGAAAAGAACCAAAGACGGGTAATACCTTTCGGGTGCGCTGGGGGTTGTTGTTCGCTGTGTGACCATGGCAAGGGGTCGGAAGCAACAGAGGGGGAACAGATACCTTTGTGATTAGATGATTATCTTCCTTATTCTCTAATTTAGTCTTCTGTATGATGGATATACGGAGTATTTATTTTTTCTTCTCACGTTTTGTTCGTACCCTTTGTATGTACATGTTTTGTGTGCGTTGGCTTGATGGAAGGAAGCATGGGGTGAAGTTGTAATGGGAGGATGACGGATGATGATGTCGGGGCACGAAAGCATGTTCTTTGTTTCAAAAAGATTCAACTTGAAATAAATAGGTATCAGCCATTTCTATAAGTTATCCCCTATCCTACCTTTCCCCCCTTGGTAAAACACCGCCCTACTAACCATCCTGACCTTGAGCCGTGAACCGTGGCCATATAAGCCTATCGATCACAAAAGTAATGTCTAAAAAACGCTGAGAAAAGAGAAAGAAAGAGTGTGAAAAAAGAAGAAGAGCCAAAGGGAACCCAACGCGAGTGTCAACAGAAGTAGAGGAATTCAGTCACTCAAAGAAAGGAAACACTCGTACACAGTTGTCATGTCATGTCATGTCATGTCATGTCCATTGTTCAGAGCCCCGTCTCTCTCTCTCTCTCTATCCCTGCACGTTAAAAGCTAAGAAGTTTCGAAATAAAAGGGGGGGAATATCAGAGAGAAGGAAGCCACAAACAGCCATACCATCCAACCCCTCAGCGGGGAATGGAAAGGGCAGACGGGAAACTGCTCAAAGGAAAAAGAAATCAGACAAAAAGTTCCAAACACCAGACCTATGCTTTCCTTTCGTTTGCCGACCACTGTGTATATCCTGTTGTATTCCGGTATCGAAGACCTAAGAGAAAGGTTCCCTCCCTCCTCCCTTCCTCTCCCTTATTCTTTTGTTTTGTTTTGTTGCTGTTGTTGTCACTGCACCGAGCTCTGTCTTTCTTTTGGTTGGTTTTTCTGTGTTTTTTTTTTTTCTTTTGCTGAGAGGTCAGGGTCATCTATTGTTCTTGCTCCGCGAGCAGAAAGGTTGCCGAGATGCCTTGGTCTTATAAAGGGATGAGCTTCTGTATCGGCTTGCTTCATGTCCCTAGTTTCGGAGCTCATCAAACAGAGTCGTTAATTTTGTTGTTTTGTGTAAAAATAGGGCATAGAGAGAAGGCAAGGTCAGTAGCTGATTGAACTGCCTGAGACCCTCTTCTCTCCTTAACCCAAAGTTCATTATCTTTTCGTGGCCAGTCAGTCGGCTCTCGGTTGAGATGACCAACAAATCATAACAAAAAGTTCATGAAAGACAAAGGAAAACCACATCTCATCCCCTTGACAGCAACGCTGTCACTGCCCTATTAGCTGTTATCAAACAGGTGGGCGAATATCGTTGTGTCCTAGTCGGACTGATTCTATGCGCGACTGACTTCGTATTGCCACTCGAGTGGGCTCGAAGTATGCGCTTGAGAGGAAGCGTAGGCGAGCGCGATTGAATCGCCCAGTGTGAGCTCTTTGTTCCAGGATGAACATGGTGGTAGAGCAGACCAAAGCATTTGGTCGACATCGTTGATCGTGCTGTTCAAATCCAAAGGAGTTCGTCGAACTGGTAGGCGTGGCAGGCATTATCATGGAGCATTAATCGAATAAATGGTAACCCGGAACCGTCGCTATGCAAACAGAATAAACACGCAAGATCATTCGTTTTCTGTACAGAAATCCATCAGGTGATATTGATGGAGGGATAGTGAAGTGGATGTAGGTGCAGACCGTGAAGCAGTCTGCCAAGCAGTATCGGACTAGCTGGTAATCATTGTTTGTATGCGTCTGGTCATTGGTGAGGGCGATGATGAGCCATCTGGAGACGATGCATCCAGCAAGGAGGAAAGATTGCCACGGGGTCGGACGCTTCGACGAGACTGGCTTGAGCCTGGGTCGTCAAACATGCGCATAAAGGCCGGACTCGAGTCTGAAGGACGTTCGCGTCTTGGAGTTCCAGCCGGGCTCTGCGCTATGTGCTCCGCCCGGCGAACAACATCAGACAAGGAATCCCGAAGCTCGCCGGCCCTCTTCACCAGGACCCTCAGGCTGTTCGTGTCGAATTGCATCTTGCTATCCGACGGCGGCTGAGCGTCATGGTTGGGACTGGAACGATGCATGGCTTCCAACACCGAGCGAGCGTGCCGGGCAGCTTCTTGCTGCTTATCAGCTCGCAGCTCTGGTGTCTGAGTCCGACTGGGCTGGTGCGAGGGTACGCCGTCGTTGACCAACGGCCAATTCCCACCAAAGATGTCGTCATCGGGAGAAAAGACAGATCGTCGCTTGGGAGACTGTCGTTCACGGATCACGGCCGTCTTTGACATGGGCTCCTTGTAGTCAAAGGACATGTCGAGCTTGCCGAAGGAGAGGTCTGCGAACTCGTCGTCGGAGAAGCCGTCGTAATACTCCTCCGTGCTGTCGGAAGAAGTGCCGTCGTCGTTCTCCCCATTTACAGAGTCTTCCTCGTCAGGCGAGGCGAGTGCGATAACGCCCTCAGCCTCCTTCCACAAGGTCTTCTGCGGGCCATCGAGCATGTCCATATCGCGCCCATGGCGACACAGTCGCTTGAGATCGTTGACGAGCAGCGACAGCTCGCGAATCTGTCCCGAGTGCGCCTTGACGCTGGGCTGCGATGCGCGAATGGATTCCGGCACCGAGAACAGCTTGTCATCGGCTGCGCCATCGTGATCGTTGCCGCCGCCGCCAAACTCAAAGTCCTCGTCCCAGTCCTCGCTGGCCGTCTTGGTGCCCATTCCCCATGTGCCGAACTTGGCTCCGGTCGCAGATTTGGCCTCGTCCATGACGTGCGAGAGGGGAACGCTCTGGCTCCGGATGTGCGCGGGGACGTGATTGCGAAGGACGGAGCGTCCGCCCCTGGCGTCAAGCTCCTGCTTCTCGTACGACGTCTTGGGGCGCAGCGGGACGCCGGCTGAGCTGTTCTTCTCGTGAAAAGAGGTCTCGCTCCAGTCGAACAGGTTGTTGATGTGCCGATCCTCCTGGTCCATGTTGGACATGTTCTCAAGACTCATATTCGCCAGCGCCATCCTGACGTTGGGATTGATGCCACGAGAGTTGAGAGAGCTTCCTTTAGAGGGGGGAGACAGCGGGTTGAAGTGGGCGTCGTCGTCAGCGGCCCAGTCCTGGTCAAAGTCGTCGTCCAGGGAGATGCGCCCAAACTCCTTGCCGTAGAGCGAAACGCCGTTCTGAGACGACTCGGAGCTGATGCGCGGCAGGGTGAGGACGTGGCGGCTAGAGTACCTCGCTCTGGTAGCGCCAGACTCGACTCCCGTGGGCATCACCGTACTCTCGTCCTCCTCCACGATGTCTGTGTCACCAGCCCAGGTATGACCCAAGATTTCCTGTATTGAGAGGCGCTTGGTCCTACCATTATTTCCTGCAGTGCTCGGGGGTGAGTCGTCATAAATAGAATCCAAGGGCGTCTCGACGGCCCTCGTGCGACTGGAGGCTGCGGTGCGCAGCGAGTCAAACACCGTGTCGCTCCTGTAGTCGGCGTCGTCCTCGTCGCCCGATGTGAAGCCGCGAGCGTCGCTGTCAAAGCCCTCGTGCAGTGGCGACGCCCTGGTAAGCTGCGACATGGCTGCGGAGCTGGTCGAGCTCCCCGAGGGCTGGTGCTGCCGTGTTGGCTCAGAGGGCGCCCCGCCAGGCGATGCTAATAAGCGTGGGACTTCTTCGCCTTGAAATTTCGAGCTTCTGGGAGCGGGGGGAAGTGGGGAGGAATGGCTTCTTTTATGCATTGTTAGCTGATGAACCTGGGCTGCTGAACCCAGCGCCGGCCCCTGCCGTGCTAGAGAACTGGGTGGGATGGGCGACTGCGCCGGTGCCTTGGAGTCGAGCTCCACGGCGACCTGCGAGCCGCTTTCGCTGGCGGCTGACACGTGCCGCCCGTCCTTCACACCATCCGGCTCAGCCCCCCGTTTGGGTCGTCGAAGGCTTCCCGATGTTTGCGAGATCCAGGCGCCGACGGGAGCAAAGGGCATCGACTGAGGTCGTGCTGCATTCTCGGGAGTCATCGAGCGATCGTCCACGTGAACACCTGTCTCATCCCGGGCCTGGCCAAGTTCCTGTCGTCGATCCACGAGGGATGGCGTAATCGGGGGTGCTGAGGCTCCCGACACCATCCTGGGCTTGACGAGATGCACTTGTTGGCGATCTTGGCCTCCAGGGGCAATGCGCTTTCCAGAGGCGGTCCGACCGCCAGGGGTGCCGTCTCCCAGACGACTTGCAATGCCACCACCACTCGTTGTGTTCTTTCTCCGCGAGTGGAAAAAGGACACCCAGGAAATGTTGCGTGAGCTCTGAGGTTGCACAGCCAGGGCTGGTACCGAGAGAGTCTCTTGCCGCGATGATGATTGGTCGAAGGAAAATGCAGGTGAGGTCGGCAGGTTCGCAATATCTGCGCTCGGGCGGAAGTGATGCAGCGTGGCAGATCTCTGGTGGCTCGTCGCTGGTCGTCGCAGGATACTTAGATGCGATCTGGATCGGACGTGTGCTTGCGCGGGGCTGTCGCCAGACTGGGCTGATGATGGAGAGCGCTTGACGAGCTTGTTGGGCGCCAGAGGGTTCGCGGCGGTATTGGGCCTGGACAGTATCGGTGCCGAGGAGGTGTATGACTGGGCAATGGAGGGCGAATCCGGCCCAACGCTGGATCTCGACCTGACGCTTCCCGTGCGCGATAACGGGCGACGGCGAATCGAGAGCCTCCTA